GTCCTAGAAAAAAAAATTTACTTTGACGAATCAATATTCAATTTTAATGCGTTGGTCGTGGAAATCTTTAAATATACTATTATAATTTATAATGTGTCTATAATTCACATAAGTAATTATTTGTACCTATAGAACTATAATACGAGACACGAGTAAATATAACAATTAATAAAWTMTATCAAACGATGATAATATCATAACAGTGAGTTTGAATATTGATAGATAATAATTTTTAATTTCAATATTTGTACTAATATTTATCTATTTTGGAGTAATCAAATTATTTTATTTATTTTTGTTTTCAATTAATGATATGGCTTGATTGAAATATTAATAATTAAAAATGATTAAATATGTGATCCGCTTACACAATTTATATACAATACAAATATGAAATGGTTGGTAATCAAATATTTTTTAAACATATCAACACAAACATCGTGTGCAATTATATTACTATCAATATTATCATATATTGTGTAGCTACTACGTTACAATATGCAATAATATTGGCTATAACATAATGTACAGTGGTACATCGACCTAACACATTTTGATATACGAGTAAATTATTTTAAAATAATTGAAAACCCAAAATCATCATACTTGATTGAAGATTTACAGTATTTCGATGTCATACTACAGTGGAATACCCATAGTTTGATATATTACATATTATATATGTGATATCATGATATTATTTTAATTATTACAATGTTATTGGTGAATAGCACATGATCAAATAAGCACGTTCCTACGAAAATAATAAATAGTAAATAATATGAGAGACAACCATATTATTATAAAAGGTGAATGCTGACTGGCGCTTGATAACTGATGAACGCTTACAGCTGGTATAACTGTTACCAGTGTTTTTCATGTATTTTTTTCTAAGTTGCGTGACGAAAAAAATAACAATAGTAATTAGTAATTACTATACCCACCCTAATTATTTTCAGCATCTTAAGTTTTCGTTTAGGTTCACGAAAGACCCCTGATTAACACTGATCAAAGCGCTTTAAAAAAAAAAAAACCTTTTTATAAATCTAATTTCAAAAACAGACACGATTTCGTTTAAAATAAGAGCTATAAATAGACAGGTACTCGTTTGCCACAGTCAAAGAATTTTTTTTAATAACGTACAAAAAAAAATATCTAGTTAACAACGTTCCACAAGGTACCAAAAATAATAATGTAGCTCAACAAATTACCAACAAAATATTTGCATTAAATATTATGCCACAGTGATAGAAATATTTTAGACTATTTTTTAATTTTTTAATTAAGTAGGTCATTGTAAGTATCATATTATCACCWACATACCTCTAATTTCTTAGGAGCAATGTTGTAAAACAGGAGCATAGGTAATCAATTTATCGTAAAACTCATCTAACATTATAATATTTGTACAATTAGTATTATATATCATACTTATTTTACAAAATTATAATCAGATTAAATCAATTACCACATAATTTTAATTATATAATATATCGATGTGTGTTATAACTTATAAGCTGAATGATAATAATGATGATGATACTAAGTTGATAAACAATTACTTGCAGTCCAACCAGCTAAATAAAACACACGAAACGTGAGTATACCTTCGTTGAAAGCATTATGTATCCCACGAATAGCGATAATATTATAATATCGTTGCTTTGTACAATAATATCAATATACCTACCAATAAATTGTAGCATTATAAACAACTAGTAGGTTACTACTTACCAATTGTGAAATATATTTTAAAGACCGTCAATGATAATTTGATTTTTCTTACATTTAATTATTGTTGTCACCTCACTTGTTTTTGATAACTAAATAATTATTCAGAACAAATACCAACAACAATGATAAAAATCATGACAGCAAAAAGTTTTTTACATTGACGAGTGGCAACATTGCAAGAGTTTGCACATACTTTTTAGGGGAAATGGAAAATAGTCAACAGAAGTATTTGTAGGAAACAAGAGTGATCCGCGTACTTACCAAGTAGCAGTGAGTCTCTTAATTTTTTTTTAACACAATATAACACAATAGAACACAATAGAAAAGACAGAAAAATTATTGATAAATTCTTTCAATTTACAGATTACTATTAGGTATTGTACAAAATAATATCACTTAATTTCAACAATTGACAAACGTCAAAAGACTGACCAATTAAAATAATATTATAACTTTAACAATATAAGTAGTCAATATAATATAATAAATATGTATACAATAATAAACTATAATATTTACACATTTACTGACAAAACATGTATCTACTTTTCAATAATACATGTAGGTATTACTAATCTATTTAAGCACGTACACCATTACATAAATTAATATACTGTACATATTTATAAACTATAGAATTTAAATAGTTGCACATGTGCATCTTATATTTTTATCTAATGTGATTTAAAATTTAAATCAAATGTTGATCAATGATTTCTTGACAGATGATAAGTAGGTATATCAAAAAATAATATGAACATCTATTTAATGAGTAACTTTATAAATATTAAAAGATACCATATCCTTATCATATCTACATATTTTTTTAGATTATTAAAAAACATACAGCAACCTGATTTTTTATTTTTTTCTTAAAAGTTAATATAACTCATATTTTGCTTCGTGAGTACAATGTATGAATTGAATATACATTCAATAATTTAAAGKTAAAATAATATTTAATAACAAAATATCAAACTGATTATCTTGTTATTTACTACAATTTTATTTTGACACGATGTATGCGTGGGTAGATCCGTGAGCTCCTCGGGGTTTAACCTTTAAAAATGTCTTTGAATAATATTCGATGGATATTCTCAGACCGTATAATATTGCAACGGCTTTCCACCATGTTTAACATTTAATATATTTTATATTATTTTGTTCCAATAAGTCTGTTGTAACAATTGTAATATTATTATTCTAATAAACAGCCACCCGGCCACCACCCTGTATGGAGAAACAGGAATAAAAAATAATAGATGATTAAAGTTCAGCATGAGTTTCGAACGGATGTAATGATACACAGTTCGGACTAGTGCGTTTAACTCACGACTACCGAAAGGTATACTTTCTTAATAAATTAATAATATTACAGTTGTATACACTGACTTATTTAAACTTATAATTGAGAGCTTATTTTTTCTTCAAACGGCTTATAAAATAATATCATACAAAGATACCTTATTTTTACTGCAATAATAACCGCAAATATAATATTTTCAACAAAAAAATGTACGTTATGATTATAACACAATAGATACATGTTAATTATAGGTACGGTTACCAACGTAACCTACTCGGACTGATATTTTCTGAAATAACACTATTTTTTATAATATGTGTGTCGTGTGTGTATACTGTATACTATATAGTGAGGTTGATTTTTTGATTGAAAAAAAAAGAAGTGCGTATTTTAGCTTTATTACTGTATAAGTAGTTACAGTATATGACTCAATGTTAAGCTATTATTGCTTAATAGTTAAAAATTTAAATAAAATACATCCGAGATTAAAAAACGAAATTTGTTAAATTTTACCAGATTAATAAATAGAGGTAGGTACAGTACAATAATAGTCTTTTTGTGATGCATAATGAATATTACACAGTATTATGCAATATAGTACTATAATATTTTGTCATTCGAAACACGTATGTCATCGCATACCTAACACAACGCTCGACTCTCGTGCATAGTTAACATTAAATATAAAGGAAACTGGTATTTAAACTAAGAAGAAACTACCTATCGACTTAGTGTTGACACAATTATTAGAATTTTCGTTAACAATTTGTTAGAATACGTTGCTGTACACAGTGTGTAGTTAATCCACTGATTTGACATGGTCTTAAAATACGATTTAATAACATGATAATATTATTATATTGATGTAAAGTGATTAGTAGTTTTGTCTCTTAAGGTCACGACATGACAGATCTTAAATTCTGTACCTAAAAGTACATGAATAAATGATAATGCGAAATGTCAATAGTCAATACTGTGATTTACAAATTTACTAAACAGCCTATCGTTAATATTTATTTAATGCATTTACAGAGCAATTAATTTTTATATTTAACATTTGTCTCATAAATAAATTTGACTAAATACAGTATTAACTTAAATTGGTGTTAATATTTATATTTTTCATAAATGTTTCCTCGCATAATTTTAGGTGTTAATTGATGTGAGAGCAGAAAATTACAATTTAATTTTTATCAAAGAATCTAATCGGCAATCGCCTAGTAAGCACAAACACATAAGTGTRGTTTATAATATTATAATTTTAATTGCGTAAATTAAAAATKTATGAGTTTGAAATTAAACGTCAACAATATAATTTATAGTTAGGCATAATACAAAGAGCCAAATATTTTATCAAGACTTAATAAAAACAATGTACCTACAATTATATTATATTATTTAGCTTTGGTATCTTTATAATTTATTGTAGAAACATAATATACAAATCAAGTATTAGATATACTGCGGTTATTAAATAATCACATATAACAAAAGTTTATAACTTATGATTTATATATAAATCAAAATCAACATTAAATGAATCTTGATTGAGCATAGCAAAATCATATTTTTTGAAAAACCTATCAGGAAATGGTGTGTTGAGCGAGAAGAATAGTGGTTAAAATTATTTTTTTTTAATATAATAGCATATTATGTATAAGTATATTTTTATTTGCAAAATCCACTTGAAGTTCATTCGTAAAAATATTTTATATTCATGAATTAAATGTGAGTATTTTTAAGGGCGATGAGATTATTTATTAAATATTATTTATGTGTTGAAATAATAAGAGGGAAAGAGTGGGTGAGGGGAGCGATCTCAACGATGATCGATAGAGTGTAGTCTCACTAGTGGGTGGACTTGTAAARCCATATAAATAATATAGTAAAAGATTTTATATTAATACATATATAAATATATACAAAAAAAAAAAAAAAATGGAAAACAATATTCTTAATAAATAGATATCAAACGAAAGGATAATRACAATGACTTCGGATACGGAATACATTTGACGCGGACGTCTATATAAATAATATAATTATGTTATACAGGTTATACCGAGTAAAACATTATGACATATCTTAACGATAAAACGATTCGATACCACGGCTCTGGAATTTACTCGATGCAGAGACGAGCGTTTACTACAAAGTAACTAATAGTAGGTACCTACATAATTCGATATTATAAGTTATAGTTTTATATCCTAATACTTTTAAAGTCATTGCACGCCGACCGCGGTTAGATTGGACGCCGTCATCAGTACTTACGGCCAGCAAACTTTTCATGACCGCGATTACCGTTGTCACTGATTATGTTGTTGTTGATGTGACTATTGTAGTGATGATACTGGCCACTGGGTTGTGGTTTACCGTTCACGTCGACAAACTCCACGTCGGGCGGTAACACCGTGCCACCGGACGACTGCTGTTGGGCCGCGACTAGCTCGTTGACCAAAGTGTCGCCTTGCAAGCTGATTGGCTGTTGAGACGGACGAGACCCGTGGTTATTGGGTGGATACGGTAYCCTATTCGGTGCCGGATAAAATCCTTGGTTCGGTGCCGGGTAATAACCTTGGTTCGGTGCTGGGTAATAACCTTGGTTCGGTGCCGGGTAATAACCTTGGTTCGGTGCTGGATAAAAACCCTGGTTCGGTGCCCACGATCCGTGGTGGTAGTGTTTCTGCTGCATAAGGTCGGCCGGCTGATGACGTGATCCGTACAGTGGAGCGTAAGGCGCGTAGTAACTGGCCGCGGCGGTTTGGAAGTGGTCGTCCAGCGAGACGGGTGTGGCCGGTGTCTGCAAAAAAAAAACAAAAAAAAATAACGAGATGTGATCATCGGAGGATTTCAATAATATTATAATCAAGGTATTAAACGTACATATTGGTCATACACAYAGACTTATAAAAATAGACAGAACATTAGGTATGATAATGCGTGCAAATGGGTGGAGCTTGTTACAAGGATCAAGCGTTGGAAAAGGGTGGGAACAATTTTGAATATTTAAATATATCTATTACTTATAGAAATTATGAACGATTATAAAAATACTATTCATAGACATAGGCTATGTCATTGCTTATTAAATTTTAAATTTTAATAATATAAAGAATACTATCACAGTATCACAAATAATGTCTTATTATTTAGAAAATAATAAAATTGAAACATAGCTCTGATAGGCTGCCCCTGGAATAGCGCGCCATTTCTCTCACTCTTGTGATAAAACTCTTGCTATCTCTCTTAATCCATTTGGCACGACCACACCTTCCAGTCCTCGGGCAAATATTCCGTCTATTTGTTTAAGTCTTTAATCGTACACGAACAATACGCAAGTACTTAATATTATTAATTTTATCATATAATATAACGATCGTTAATTATTTGGTATCTATATTATTATGTTAATATGTAAATMTGTATGTTATAATAGGTAATTAATAAATATAATGCGCAGTGTTGATAGCGCATAACAGCAGTTTAATTCAATATCGGCGTAATCTAATAGTCAAAACAAACTAAATCTGATAATAGTTTTATATTCTAATATTCTAATACAACTCGTTTCCATAATAATAATATTACCTAAAGTATTGAGAGAAATCAATATTYGAAAATATCATAATAAGATAGTAAACTGAGGAATGTGTGAGGTTTTGAACTTTTTGTTTGACTATTCTGTGTTTATATACTGTGGTCCAGTCTCCATAGTTTTTTAACAATGAGTTATAATAATAATAAAACCTTAATTTTAAAGCTTGACCAAGATTAATGTCATATATGTACGTCGGTCTCGCCAATTCGATTCCGAAAAGCGGATAGGCAGGATTGCAAAAATAGGTGTATATAATATATTATACAAAAGGTGTAAACATAATAATATGACATATTAAGCCACGTGCGATCGGTTCAAAAGACAAAAAAAAAAACAGATACGTACCTGTGTTCGACAGCCATTCCGATAGATGGCCCAGAAGAAGCAGCTCAAAAACAACCATTATTTTATTTACAATATCTTTTACTCTGTGACTCTGGGCGTGCCTCATTTGCATTTTCTCTTTTCCGAAATCTTGTTTTCCGACGACGCGCTATTTCACCAGGATTATTCGTAACCCACAGATTTGGTCCCGCGTTACAATTATATTATAATATTAGACTTAAATGCACGTGCACGATTTAAATCATTCAAACAGTGTAATAACAAAACYAATAATAAAGCTGTTTGACTATTCTGATAATATTATTATATCGATTTGAAGGATTAAAAAGAATTTACAAATTTGTTTTTRCGATGTAGCTTGTACAAAAATGTTACAGTACAATTCTGCAATGCTGTAAACATTATACATCRCAAAAAGCAAAAAAATATATAAAACATACTACCTGCCACAATCATAACTATTGAGTATTATGATATTCGGAAAACAAAATAATTACAATAATTARGTAAGATATGTATAATTACAAACACCAATTCCACCATTTAAGACTATGTATAATACATTTTACACTTTGAACCGATCAAAATAAAAGCAGCAAATTATTATGTACACACGCTGAATTGTTTTTATACAATTAGCAACACTTTAAAACGACATAACAAATAAAAACTCGAGTCGTTTTAGGCGATAAATCCTAAAAGGTTTTATTCACACAAGTCAAAATAAATATAATAATAATATAKTTTGTAATAATAATTATACTTTAAAATGAAATACAAAACTAATTTTTCTTTTTAAAAATAATCGCTAAACAGACTATAATAGGTATTACGAAACTTTTGATAAAATTATAATATATTTTCTTACAAAAGAATAATGATTAAAACAATACAACACTATTTTTGATTATATTATGGCAAATAATTTATTCCAATCAACCGTATTTTATATAAAATATATTATATATAGGTAGGTAGGTAGGTATAATGATATATTTTGATTTTATGTTTTATGTTACATTTTGATTTTTCTAGGAATCGTYAAATAACTAATTAAATTTTAATATTTCGCTATTTAAACGTCGATAAGGATAATAACAATACCTAGCTCATTAATAACTGCACAGATATTTTTACCACCGAATTGCGAAGAAAAGATTTTTATTATTAGAATTTTGTTTTTAACGATATTTTATATTCAATCGGTTTTTTTWAATAAATTTAAATATAAGATATATCTAAACAGTTCTAATATTATTATATAATATTAGAGTTGTTAATGATAATATTTTTGAAAATAACTTACACAAGCGTTAGATATTTATTAATTCAATTCGTGACAAATTGATCTTTAGGTTATTAAAATACTACATTATATTACGTATAATAGCTTGTATTAATATTATTATGTGTACAAGAAGCCCCTGCTATCTCGTTATTCTACCTTTTTAACAAAGTTCTTCCGGTCGTCGTRATTCTGCATTGTAACGGACGGGACGGGTTTGATTTCATTTGTMTCCAATTTTTGTGTCTCCGAATCGCTGTTAGTTATCGATATCTGTTTTTCATTTGAGATTTGTTTGTTTATCCCTTCAGGCAGTATCTGGATCTCTTTAATATGGTAGAAACTCTTGTGGTTTTCGTCTCCGTCGCTGACCGTTGTCTCGTTTATTTGTACTCTGCGTCCGTCAATGATCTAAATACGAATATGCATAACAACAAACGAAATAGACATAATTAATGTACCCAAATCTACAATATGTACGAGCGTAATAAGAAGTTTGAAAAACAATGTTTATAAAAWGTAAACAGCACATTTTGTTTTAGATGCCCTCTTTAAAACGACACAAGTGGAAATTTCACYGAGTCTATCRCTTTACAAAGATTAAGGAGTKTTGTTCGTCAATGCAGATTCGAAACCCTAATAAATATTCTCGATTTTCCATTTCAACTTGAATAATTTGCAAATAGATACCTATGTGAACTGCATGACGAACCAGCCACGTTTTATAAGTATAATATTAGTAAGAATAAAAATAGTGTGTAAAAAAAATTATGAATTCCGATGGTTATGCCTTATGCGTACCTAACACAAAAAGGATGCATACATCGACATTTTTACATGGATATTAAACAATGTAAGACACGTTTAAGACGTAATACGTGTTCGGGTAACTTACAGTAGGAAACACTCACAATTTGGTATCTGGTATAAAGTACCTACAATCTACGTATGTGTARTGCGTRTATTATAATATTATTTTGAAATAAATCGTATACAAATAAGTGGTCGTTAGCACCATCAAAACCTGCAGAAATCTCCTACACTGCAGTAATTCAGTAACTTTAATAAGGACAGCACGCGTTTAAATTCATAATACAGCTACATAATTTAATACAGAAAATATAAAGCGTTAGATATGCGCATAAAACATAACTGATTTACTACAGAAATGAACATCACGTAAAGACTTGTAAATGCAAAAACGTGTACAGAATCAAATAAGAATTAGCAGTAAAAATGAATTTTTCAAGCTTCCTTTTTTTTTGTTTTTTGCAACATATTATTTAATAAAAATTCGTACTTTGTTTTTTAAGTCTTTCGAGCAATTTGTATAAGGTATATTCCCTATACCTAGAGAAYACCTAAGCCATTTCAAAATGGATTTCYTAAGATTTAATTGTATAACATAATAGTACTATTAATTAATATTAATATATTATAGGAATATGATATTATAATAAGTTATGACTGTTGACACGTYACACGTCAATCGGGATATATATAAAATATTGTACGAAAAAGATTCTAAGCAATGAGTCGAAAATCATAAAATCCTCAAGAGGTAACTCCGAAAATGTATTTCRAATTCGAATCAAATTTAAAACAGAATCGTAATAATTATTTATGTGTTCTCCGATTCCACGAATTTGAAACTGCTTGGTATAATCTTATTTTCTTTCTTAGTTATAATTTACATTTGAATAATATAGTGCGTTTTGCAAATTGGTGCTGTTACCTACTGTCTAAATATTGCATTAGGTTTTCGATTGATTAATCTAAATTATGCGAACACAAATAATTATTTGTAAGCCACGTATTGGTTCACTTACCTCGGTCTTGGATGTAGTCTTTCTTAYTGGCTTATTCGAGCCTTCTTGCGCGGTTCCCACATTTTCCATTGGTGGCAAGCCCATTTTGTCAAACGATTCCAACATGCCTAAAATTAAAATTTTAAGACAAAAACTTAAAATAATGCAACATAAATTATTGTTATTAAAGTATTAGTATATATTTTAGTACAGACCGTATTACARTCATATTTTAATGAAAATAATATATAATACACATTCATCGTTAAAAAAAATACATGCAAATTGCAAATTTAAATCAACTATAGTGTTGATAGCTGTATGTTGTTAGTTATTAACTATTGACTATAATAATTGATATTGTTTACAAGATGATACTTGCATCGATAGTCATTTCGTTAAATGTATGTTTAAAAAAAAAATTACAWATTTATTTAAATTCATTACCACAAAACATTTTTAAAAACAAAATATATTGTATAACATTGTTTCTCGAAAATGTTTCCCCTGACTATAATAATTATTAAACATTTTCTTTTCAAAAACACATGCCTATACCTACATCTAAAAATGTATACCGATGATCAATTGTTTGCTGATTAATAAATTAATAACCACTCACTATACTTACCTATATCATCATATTATTATAATAATAAAACACGTCATGCAACATTTACCTGATGGCTCATGATTCCGAAAAGCGTTAAGCATGATGTTCATTAGCAACGGAATGGGTTGCAATGTGGTTGTGTTAACGTGGGTATTTCTTTTCGGTTTAAATATTACGACTTCGGGCGCTGTGAAYGAAGTGATTAATGTTGGTTAGTATTATTTGTTAGGTGAAAGATTCAATGGTTATCATGAAAATGGTGTTAATAATTTGGTGATATTAAGCAGCCTTCATATAATATAATGTTATTGTATTTTTTTTTTTTTTTTTGTGTTCAATACAAATGACTTTAAACGATATTTAGCGGAATTATCACCATTTTTTACCAAATTTTTTTTCTATTTTTTGTTAACTAAACGCTGTTATTATTATTATTACTATCATCAATACAACAATAAAGGCGCCAAGTGGAAGAGATGGTTTTAGGTTTTAAAATATTACATGYATATTTTGAGTCTATAGAACAAAATAAAATATGTTAATGCTTTTAATGTTTTTTAAGGAACGTGGTTTTAAAATTTTAWAATTAATATTCTTCTGCTTTGGTAGTTGGGTATGCGGTTACCAGTCTCTGATGATTTGTTGATACAACTTGGCGCCTATATAGTGATGATAATATTCAGTAGGTATGCATGCATACGAGACATAATATTAGAATGTCATCATATTTTCAATTTTGTGACGATTATCRTAGTGTTATGTTGATTTTAAATATTATAAATATTATTAAATCATGATAAAAAAAAAAAAATACAATTTACTGGCAACACATACTTTTGAACTCGTTAGTGTACGCTTCAAACACCTGATTGAATGGTTGGGCGTTCATGGGAGCTGCAAATGGATTGATAGGAGCGCCGAACGGTATCAGTGGATGCCTGAACGGTTGTTGCTGTTGGTTGGAAATTAAAGGCTGGAAAGACTGGAAAGGCTGGAAAAATTCAAAAAAGAATGGTATGTTGGGTCCTAGTTTCACAGTATGCACTCCACCAGTGTTGTAGGGCTTGGGAGTTTGGCCCTGGACGGGGACAGATGGGTTAGGCTTGGCGTCAGAGCTGGGTGAGTTTGTTCCGACTACACTGTCCGTTTGTTCACCCATGGTGGCTGTGGGGGAAACGTCAGATTCGGCTTTTTCGCTTGAAACCGGTAAGGCCGGRTCGGTTACAACCACTGGACTTGCTGATCCGACTGTAACTTCTTCCGTTTGACCGGACTGCTGCACTTCTGGAGACGATTCGGTCACGTCCGTTTGAAGGACCGACGTATCCGTCTCTTTCGTTTGCTGTCGTTCGGGTTCCTGCTTCTGAACGACCTCCTCTGATGAAGCCTCGACGTTCGCTATAAATTTATATAAAAAAGTTTATTAATGACCGATTTATTATTATATTTATTATATATTCATGTATTTGCTTATTAGTTATTATATCATATAGTCTTGTATAAGRTTRGATCAGAAATCTTTTATTTCCTTATACATTTCGAATATCACTTTATTATATTACGTATACGAATAGTGCTAACCAAGTGGTGTTGTATCATARGCCTAAATTAAAAATGCTGAAACAAGTCATATATGTTCTAAAAATAGTTTCTAACTCGTCACTCCTGTCATATGCGAAAATGCACTTACGTAGATGTTTTAACGTGTACGYAACTCTCGCGGTACTAACCCAATCGTGTATAAACCGTAAACATAAACCTGGTATTGTTAACATGTAATTGAATATAATATACTGAGCAGCTAGTGTAAACTTTTACTGTTTTTGAAGCGAATATAATGTTAGCTAAACAATACTTATCACCGAAAACAATTTTTTCGTCATCAAAACTTTACCATAGACGGTTTAGGTGTTAATTGTTTATTTTTAGATTTTATGCAGCCTAATTTCACAATAATTTATTTGTTAATCATAACTCAACAAGTATTGATTCATATACTTTCAATGCTTTAATATGATACGGTGTAAAACACAATACGTCATGTGACATAATTTTAAMAAAATAGTTWAAAAAAAATTAAATCCAATATGGCTAGACAAAATGTCACGTTACCGTCATTTAATGACTTATCGTAATATTGAATTGATAACATGTTATAACCGGTGATACTCGTTTGCGCACAGTACACAATTTTTTACCCGTAAACTGACAACTCGTTTGCGTACATCAATAACGTGAAAACCCGGTTAATACTAATTTTGACCTGAAAAATGACGACTCATTTGCGCACAGCTATTAAATTAGACTTATATTGTTACGTGTGAGCAAATTTCGATAAGATACACGTAATTGATAAAATAGTGTGCGGTTCTAAAGAAGCATTACATTAAAATTAATAAAATTGTAAATACAAACATAACATTGAAAAAACATGACAAATTTAATTTAAATTAACTTAACAAAAAAAAAGACATTTTTAATCACGCCAGTTGTAAACAGACAGTCTTAAGCCTGTAAAAGTGAGAASAAAAATGTTTGAAAACAATCTTAAAYATTATTTTTGTTAAGGGTTTTAGTAGRCTTTTGCTATACTTTATGTACGCAAACGAGTCCTACGTTTTGRGTCATTTATTACAGGTATTAAAAATTCGTGTGCGCAATCGAGTTATACATTTGTACGAAAACGAGTCGCAAAAAAGGATAAATGTGCGCAAACGGGTATCGCCCGTTATAACATCTCCCAAACATGTTATTTATTATTAAATTCTAATAATCAATATTATTCATAATTTATTCATAGTACTTATAAAATCGCTATATTATGTTAATACAAATAATTATGCACCGAGTGCATTTACATTATACCTACTTAGGCATGAAAAGTGCATTGCTCTGTTCAACGACAGTTCGCYCAGAACAAATAATAATAATTGTCGACTGCAATCTATTTGGCACTAAACGTAATTCAAATTGATCAAGCTGGATGATCGTCACGCGCGCCGTCTCGTGTTGAATACCAATCAGTATTATAATAATGTTATATTATTATCATCAGCTCCAGACGAGCGCGTACTAAACAACAATACTTTAATCGCAAAAGGTACGATTAATCTGTACACCGCCACTGTTTCACATCGGGTTTTGTTAGTCATAAAAATTCCTCATATTTTATCTGTTGGCCACAACTGCGTCAGCGCTAGCATAAACCTGTGTTTCAAATTATGATACGGGCTAAGAATAGACAAGGCCATAATTATTTTAATAATC